AGGCTCTTGCTGAAAAGGTTTCTGGTTCCCAAAAGGGCTTTGGGGGTTTCCCTGAAGCCTGCCCAGCAGGAGCCCGTGGTGGCCGGTGCTGTGGGACGTGGGAGGCTCTGGCTGGCCCAGAGCTCCATGGTCATCCCCAGGCCGCAGGAGCCGGGAACACGTCTGGGCAGACCCCAACCCAAACACCCTCCGCACATTTGACCCAGCAGATCCTCCCATAGGATGGAAGTCAGCAGCTGGCATTCACCCACCCCACCCCCTGTGATGGGATTCCATCTCTGCTCTGTCTTCTGCACCCAGGGCTATCTAAACGAAGGGACTGCCAGGATTGGCACCCCGGAACCCACCCCTGTGCCGGGCAGACAAGGCTGGGTGCAGGGGTGCCTGCCACTGCTTGATGCATCACTCATCAAAGCCCTCCTGCCCAGCTCCTCGGAGGCCAGCGGGGCATCTCAGGCCACCACCTTTGCTGGGGTCCTGCCCACATGCTGGACCCGTGAGTAAGGGCTGGAGCCATCGGCTCACGCTGCACCAAGGCAAAGCGGTGCTGAACACAAGGAGAAGAGAGCCGGTGCTGTACGCACTGCGCAGACCATCGCTTGGTGTGGGCAGGGGCAAGGGACAAGCAGGGCACCTCTCACTAGCCCTGGACCCCACGCTCCGGCACCGCTGGCACCTCTGCTGAAGGTAGAATGAGCGTGGCGGGGAGAGAGGGAATGGGGATACTGTGCCTCATTTGTTATCATGAGTTAATGCCAGCGGCTTGTCGGGGCCCCGGAGCCCATAGAGGCTGCAGGACAGCTGCTCTGCTCCCAGGGCACGGCCAGCAGCACCACAGGGAGCTGCAAGGTCCCGGCAGGGTTCGGGGCTGCGATCCCGTCCGCCAGCAACAGCCTCCTTAGGCACAGGTCCTGCCACCCTGGGAAGGATGGAGGGACCCCCCCTATCAGCCCGCAGAGGCTGCTCCAGCCACACAGTCCTTCCCTGGAGGTCCCCTCTGCCACCTGGGCTGCAGCTTTCCCCGGTCTCCCCGGGATGGATCCCGACCCAGCACGGTCGGAGTGGCAGGGGAGAAGAAGATGCGCAAGAGAGCGAGGGGTCCCTCCCCAGCCCCTGGCCTGGGGTGGTGGTCAAGCAGTGTGATGGTACTTGAAAATGATGTTGCGTGGGGAATTTCTTTCAGTATCACTGTCGCAATAGATGCAAACGGTCGTTCGCAGCCCAGCAGCGTGCAGCCCGTAGGGGATGGCACGTGGGGCCTCAGGAGCGTGTGGCTCACCCCAGCCCTGCAGCCGGCAAGCCCAGCGCTGCTGTGACTCAGTTTCCCCCACCTGCGGGACCCCGCAGGGGAAGCATCACTCAAGGCAGAGGCATGTCGCTCATGACGAAGCAGCGCTATGATTCACAGACCACAAAGCCAGACGGGGCTGCTGAGATCAGACCTGACCTCATGTGCCACCCAAGCCAAAGGCTGGACTGCCCAGGCCTCACTCCCACCAGAGCAGGAGGGTTTATTCTAGAAAAGGGTCCAGTTTTGAACTAAATAAAAATACCCTCCGTGCTGCAGTGTGCCTGCCCAGGCTTGAGGGGGCTGATCCAGTGTTTACTCGTCCTGCATAGCGTCTTATTCCTCTGCTCACACACCCCTTCCTAAGCAACAGGATGGGTCATCAGGAAAGCAATTTGCAAAGCCCAGCCATGTGGAAAGTGTTCCTCCATCTCTTCTGTCTCCAGCGGCTCCAGAAACCCTGAAATCCAGCACATTCCCCAGCGCCATCCCGTTCTCCCAGGGTGGTGGGCAGGAGACGTGCCTTGCGGCAGTCAGGAGCACCGGCCAGGCTCAACAGGGCATGCACTGCTGAGGGCGGCTCTCCCAGGTCCCCAAGATACGGGCATTTTGGGGCTGTTCAGAGGCAACAGTTTCTCGGCCGCATGCAGCCCTGGGACACCGAGACGTCTGCTCTTGTGCAAAGTCTGCGGGCGCAGCACAGCTCCCTCCAGGCACCTGATCCAAGGGGATCACAGCCCGGGAGTGCCAGCACCCACATGAGCTTGTTTACTCCAGAAACCAGGGCGAGCCTCACCACGCGCCTTCCTGCAAGGCACCAGCTCTCGGTTATCTGTGGGACGTTGAAACAAGGTGCAGATCAACTGTGCCATCAGCCGAGAGGGCACTGACTCACATCTGGCACCGCATCAAAGCTGTCTGTCCTCCAGAACTGGCCGGGAAGCACAGCGCAGGGATGCCCGCTGTGTTTACAGGAGCCAGCCCGGGCACAGCAGGGCCAGCGCAAACCTAGCAAGTCCTGCTGAGCCTGGCAAGCTGTCATACGGGTGCCCTGCGCCCCTGGCAGCCATCTGCCACCCCTGGGGCTTCGCACTACCAGCCCAGAGCAATGGAAAGGTGGTCATAACTGCTTACAAAGAGGGGCCACACCGCATGCCTCCCTGCTGCTTTGAACGTAGGAAGTGATAAATGTGCGGCACCTTCCCTGGGGAGCTCAGCGAGGATGGACAGGGAATTAAAATGCCACCAGGGGATGCAAGAAACTTGCCACGGGATGATCAAGGGCTTCCTGGGCAAGTCTCATGCCCCAGGGTGCTGCTCTTGACCTTCTGCCTTGTACAGGCACCCGCAGCGCCCACGTCCCAGCCATGGGGCAATTAATGCCGTTATCACCCCCATCCATTTCCAGTCACGCTTTATAGGTACCAGAGCTGCGGATGGAAATTCCCTGAACAGCCCATCCAGCCCCGCTGGCTCAGCAGGACCTGCTCCCCGCCACCCCAAACGCCGGCACACCTGATCGGGGCGTCTCAGGAAGGAGAGGCAGAAGGGGGCTGAGGAAGAGCAGTGCTTGGCTACCTTCTCCGCAGCCGGCAGCAGGGCTGTGCAAGCACCACGGCCCCACGCCTCGCTTCCTGCTCACCACAGGGAGACGGCGCAGCAGGACACCAGGGCTCCAGCCCAGCCAGTCTCAGCCCAGAGCACCCAGTGCAGTCCCTGTGACCAAGCCCTGTCCTGTCCCGTGCCCCCATGTCTTGCGCTGCAGCAGGACCAGAGGGCTGAAGCCCCGACGGCAGACCGCAGGCGCTGAGCAGCCCCCATCTCCCCCACCATTCATGTGCTCCAGGCTGCCTGGGGTTACCTGGGAGCTGTGACCCCCTCTGCTTGCCTGTCCCATACTCTCCGTCCCCCAGAAGGAAATTTGCCTGTGCAAGCCCACGGGCACCAGCCTGCACCCAACAGACCCCCACTTGCCCCTGGCCACCCCTCACCCCAGCAGCGACCTGCAGCCCCGACACAAGGGTGAGCAGTGGGGTCCCTTCAGCCCCTCGCAGCGATGCTCCGAAAAGCATCAGCCCCACCTTCCCTCCAGAGGAGAGCCGGCCTTGCCGGGCACAGCCTCCCCGGAGTGCTCCGGATGGGTGGGAGCTCTGCCCCATGCCCGTGGGCACACGGCAGCTCCACCAAACTGCAGCCATGGGGGAATACTGCAAGGAGGTGTCCACCCGCCAGGGATGGAGAAAAGGCACTGCTCCACAGCGGAGGGATTGCAAGAGGAACCGAGCCGGGCTGAGACCCAAAGGCTGGCCATCACCTGGGCACGTGGGTGGCTAAGGGACAACGATCTGCCGAAACCCCTGCAGGATCCAGACACCCCCGGTGCTGCTCCCACCCCAACCGTGGCTCACTGGGGGGGTTCCCAGCGGGGCCAGCTGCAAGGGGGCTGTGGAGGGTGACCTGCACCCCGTGCGTCCCCAGCACCGGCAGCAGCACAGGGCAGCGCAGACACGTCCCCTCAGGGCCCCCCGGTCCTACCGTGGGCTCCGGTGGCGTGGCAGGGGCCGGGGCCCCCGGCGTGTCGAGGTGCCCGGTGCACGGCATTTCCTGCTGGGCGGCGGGAGGGAGGGAGGGACGGCCGCGCTCGGCTCACCTGCGCCAGGTGCAGCTCCGCCCCGGCTTGCCCGGGCCCGGGGTGCGGGATCTGCTGCGACGGGGTCCCCCGTGAGCACCCCCAGAGCCCACAGCCTCCACAGCCCCCCTTGCAAACGGCTCATCCCGCTTGTTTATAGCAGCCAGGAGGGACCAGAGGCATCACTGCCGGCTCAGTACGAGGTCTGGGGACGGGGCTGCGCTCAAGCGCGGTGAGACGGTACCCGTTGCTCACCCAGAGCACGGTGCAAGGTGTGCAGGGTGTGCAGGGTGTGCAGGGTGGCCCCTCTCAGCACCAAGCCCCTGCTGGGACGTGGTTTCGTGCTGGCCTCCCCGGACGCCCGTGGCTGAGCCACGCTGCAGGAGCAGCCCCGGTGCCGTGGCACTGGCAAGGCGGCCGATTTCCCATCCCGCTGCAGAGCAGTGCGAGGAGGCAGACAACGGTGCCAAGCTGACACCCAGTGCTGCAGGCCAGCAGGCACGGAGGCATGAGGAAGAGGGGGGAGTGGTACAAAGGGATGCAGAGGGGACCGCTGTCCCCTCCAAGCTGAACAGTGTCCAAGGCGAAGGAAGGAGCAGCTTCAGGAACGGCTCCACCTCCCTTCCCAGGTTATCCTTGATGGCCGCATCCCCCAAAACACCCATTATTGTCACCCTGTTTTCACAGTTAGTGCCTGTGTTCTCCTTGCCCGTTTGCTGGGAAAACCAGGCAGCCAAATAAGGAGCAGAAATAGGGTTCTCTGGGAGACAGACTGCTGCCGCCTTCGCACAGGCTCAGCGTCAGCAGTAGTAGCAGCTGCTGAAAGAGCTCAGCCTAAAACTGTGATCCACCCATGAAAGAGTCAGTATTTCTCCCGCAGTTCCCCCGTTCCAGCCACTGAGTCATCCTCTGCTCTTGTTAGCATTTCCGCCTCCTTTTCTCTGCATCTTCCAGGGGACGCTGGGTTAGATCCCTCATCCTCTGCTGCACACCAGCTTCTGTCTGTCTCTCAGTATTACGTACGCTTTTTATCATGGCTGATGTGCTGGCCTGCCTCCCTTTGGCCACTGCCATCACACTACTGCACCTGGAGCCAGCTGTTTCTAACCTCTGAACGGAGCAGGTTCCTCAGAAGAAGGAAATACCCCTTGAACCAGGACAATCCCCCCCAAGCAGGGAGAGTTGCAGAAAGCGACAGATTTCAAATACAGATTCAGTAGAATCAACTCTTTTCAACCCACAACACTTTTGCAGGATGGGAATTAACGCTTACAAATACTTCAAGGGAGGTGCCAGGGGGATGGGAGCAGTCTTTTTTCAGTGGCACCCAGTGACAGGACGAGGGGTAACGGGCACAAGCTTGAACATAGGAAGTTCCATCTTAACATGAGGAGGAACTTCTTTACTCTGAGGGTAGTGGAGCAGTGGCACAGGCTGCCCAGAGAGGTGGGGGAGTCTCCCACTCTGGAGACATTCCAAACCCGCCTGGACACCGTCCTCTGCAACCTGTTGTAGGTGACCCTGCTCTGGCAGGGGGGGTGGACTAGATGATCTCCAGAGGTCCCTTCCAACTCTGACCATTCTGTGATTCTGTGAATGGGTCACGAATTGTCCAGTGATCGACTAAGCTGGCGACCCCCTCTGAAAGCCTGTATAGTCTTTGTGGGGTGACTGCAATCGAATCTAAGTCAGGAGCAAAAAGGAAGCTTGTGATGGGAGGAAACCAAAGGAAGAAAGAGTCATTCTGCTTGGTGACTGTGGTCGCCTTCATCTCACGCCATCTGCCAGAATGCTGCTCTACTCCCGGGGCAGTGCAAAGTCCTAGAGCTTGTGAGAGAGACAATCAGAATCAAGCAGTCTCTTCAAACCAACAGCATTTCTACAGATGTTTCTGGGTCAAGGAATTAACTATAATTCCACCCAAAAGAAGGAAATGGAAGAAGTATTTTTAACTTGGGTAATTTTGGTGGTCTTGTTTTGGTACAGCTTTGCAAACAGTTGCCCCAGGGCAACTGAGAGACCAGCAATCAGTCGGGGAATTAGCATAGCATGCTATGATGCACAAAACAACCAGGAGGTAGAGGATTAGACTCTTCAATCCATATTGTCTCCTCACAGGCTGGATCCTGTAAGAAACTCCCAAGATACCTAAGATACTCACAACTCCAACTGCAGCCTAGGGGCCCCCAGAGCCAGAGTCACAGAGCAGCCCAGGTCTTTGTCCCTAGCAGGATTAAGATACCTCTGTGCAGCTCAGTCCATGACTCGAGGCCTCCTCCTCTTCAGTCTCACAGCTTGCCCTGCTTTGGCCAGAAATGTTCCTCAAGCCCGACAGCTCTCCACTTGCACCTGGAGTGCTGCCAGCTGGGCAGCCTGGCACTGCAGCACTACCAAGATGATCCCGATGCTGACCCCTCTTCTCACTTTCAGCAGGGAACAGAGTTCCAAAGCAGCCATTGATGATGGCGATGATTATGTATCTGACTAATCTGACTATCTGACTCAGGATGAGTCTTCTCAGGGTCCAGTCCAATAGTGACCTACAAGCACGCAGCACAAGCCAGCAAGACTAGGAAAACCAGATCTTCATCAGGAGAACCAGAGGGAGCCTCCCTCCTGAGGACACTTGCAGCCTGCCAGGGACAGTGCTTCTTGGGTGATGGGGAGCACCAGCGTGAATCCCCTCCTCCAAAGGGAAGATGTGAACTCAAGACTTGCTCAGCTTTCCCAGCTACATAGTCAGATTAGTCAGATACATAATCATCACCATCATCAATGGCTGCTTTGGAACTCTGCTGCCTGCTGAAAGTGAGAAGAGGGGTCAGCATCGGGACATCACATAGCATGTCACAGAATCACAGAATCACAGAATTTTCAGAGCTGGAAGGGCCCTCTAGAGCTCACCCACCCCACTCCCCTGCTAAAGCAGGACTGCCCAGAGCACATCGCTCAGGACTGCATCCAGGCGGGTCTTGAAACCCTCCAGAGAAGGGACTCCCCCCCCTCCCTGGGCAGCCTGTGCCACTGCTCTGTCACCTGAACTGTAAAGAAGTTTTTCCGTGTGTTGGAACGGAACTTCCTATGTTCCAACTTGCACCCATTGCCCCTCATCCTATCCCTGGGAACCACCGAGAAGAGTGTGGCTCCATCCTCCTGCAACCCACCCTTTAGATATTTGTAAGTAGTAATAAGGTCTCCCCTCAGCCTTCTCTTCTCCAGTCAGTGAGAGAAGATGCAAACCTCTGCAGCTCTCTGCTGGTCCGGCATCCTGGGTTCCCTGCAGAGCATGCCAGGACAGTGGGGACACACGCAGGCTCCCAGCTCCCTTCACACTAGGTAAGAGAAGAGCCCTTGGGCAAGAGGCGGGAGCCACGGTTTCCTTGGTACGTCTGCCCCCTTTATCGGTGGCAGGATCAGATTCTTTGTTTTGTGGCTCCACAGTGTGTGAATATAAGGTATTGAAGCAACCCTGGTCTGGTTTTGAGTGCTTTCCCAGCTCAGAGCTTCTCTCCTAGCTGGGAAAGGCTCAAAGCCCTTGTGCAGCCAAGGTGCCGGCTGCACGTGCCTGTGGCTCTGAGAGTTTGAATGAAGCAGCTGGTTCAGACAGAGGAACTTTCACTGTGGAAATCAGCAAAGGAGTAACAACAGGAACCTGTTAGCACAGATGCCCCACTCCAGCCACAGCTGTCTCGGAGCTGGGTGGAGGTAAAGTATTGCACAGCCTCAGGAAGTTTGTTTTTCGTTGGTACATTTCCTTCCAAAAGTCACCTCTCTAAAGAGTTGGGTTTATCTTGGTCATTCTGATCTTGCCACAGCCATGCTGGAGGGGAGGAGGCCGTTTTTTCTCTGCAGCAGTTTAACCCACGACATCCTCACAAAATGAAACAACTGCTCCACCTACTACTGTTTTTTCAAAAAACAGTGAATAAAACACAAAGTAGAAGAACTCGAGGGCAAAGATCCGTGAGCACAGCTCATGCTTCAAAAGGATCAAAATGCCATGCCTTTTCCTTCTGCAGGCCTTTTTCCAGTAAAGTAGAGGAACGGCCCCGAATTTATTCCCATTTCCTGATCAGTTCCAAGATTTCCGTGTCACATCTTTGAGGCGGGAGCTCTTTGGGCAGCCGGTGTCTGTGCAGCGCTCCTGCTTGGCTCGCCCAAGCTGTGCGGGATCGGGCTGACCTGCCGGTGCACTGGGCACCTTCAAAGCACACCCTGGTGCCGAGGAGTAGGTAATTGCTGTTTTTGCTCTGACTGAATGGAATCAACACCCTCATGGGGGAAGTGACACAGTGAAGAAATAAGTAACTGAACTTCCCGCCACCTTGTGCCACCAAAACTCCCGGGATCTCTTTCTGAGGCTCACAGGACTATCCTCAGCCGAAGGGTAACTTGCACGCTGGATGATTATACTCTTCAGGGTGCAAAACCTGAAGTTTCCGTTGCGGTGCTGTATTTGCCTCGGCTTCCCGTTTCCCACTCGCAGCGACCAGGCGGTGCGGTGCGAAGCTGCTCAGCATCGTCCCCTGCGGGCGGGTGCGCTCCGTGGGGGGAAGAGGCACTTGACAGGCTCTGTGCAGAAAAGGAAGATGCTGTAAACGATAAACACAAGATATGATCACGCCATTTCAGACTCACATGCTGCTGGTCGGCTGCTGGTTTCCAAGACACTCAGAGCTGGTTAGCAGAGGAACGACTGACATTTTGGGTTGCATTATGTGCAAAAACCTCACTGGAGCTTTGGGTGCTGTGGCCCGTGAGCCCTGCCCAAGGTCCCAGCCACTTGCCCTGCCACTGTGAGGAGAAAGGGCTGCAGAAGAAGACGGTGGTTGCCCATGGGGGCATGGAAGGAGCTCACCCTCTCGAAGCACAGGGGAAGGGTGACCCCTCATAGGCATGTCAGTCCTGACGTTTTACGGGTAATCATGGGCTTTTTTGAGAACCTCAAAGGTGGGATGTGCACCCTTCATGTCACCCTCAGCTCGGGCACCCACCACCTTGGCCGAGGATGGCGGCTCAGTGTGCCCCAGTCCCAGCCTTCAGAGCCCTCCAGGGGCTGTGTGTCTCCTGGGGGCCTTTCTGCACCACAAGTTGCCCACGAGCCAGCAATGTGCCCTTGTGGCCAAGAGGTCTCCTGGGGTGCATTACAAAGAGCGTGGCCAGCAGGTGGAGGGAGGCCATCCTCCCCCTCTGCTCTGCCCTGGGGAGGCCACATCTGGAGCGCTGTGTCCAGTTCGGGGCTCCCCGGGTCAAGAAGGACTGGGAACTGCTGGAGAGGGTCCAGCAAAGGGCTACGGAGATGCTGAGGGGAGTGGAGCATCTCTCTGCTGAGGAAAGGCTGAGGGACGTGGGGCTGTTCAGTCTGGAGAGGAGAAGACTGAGGGGGATCTCCTCAACGCTGATCAATATCTGAAGGGCGGGTGGCAGGATGGGGTCACTCTTTTCAGCGGTGCCCAGCGACAGGACAAGGGGCAACGGGCACAAACTGGAACACGGGAAATTCCATCTGAACATGAGGAAAAACTCCTTTGCTGTGAGGATGGCGGAGCACTGGCACAGGCTGCCCTGAGAGGTGCGGAGTCACCTTCTCTGGAGATATTCCAGACCCGCCTGGACGCATCGCTGCACACCCTGCTCTGGGCGGCCCTGCTCTGGCAGCGGTTGGACTGGCTGAGCTCCACCTACGCTTCAGTGATTCTCTTCACGGGGCGCCAACTCCCCTCCCTGCCCCCTGCGCCAGCCTCCTCAGGGGAAGGCCCGGGCTGGGCGCACAGGCCGCCGTGCCCGGACGGGCCTCTGCCCCCGGGCGGTGTCGTTCTGTGTGGGGCAAGGGCACAGAGGGGGCTGCGGCGCCGCCTC